AAAAAAAAAAAGAAACATAGAATGTGTTACGCATGACATACTTTTCATAAATGGTTAGAGCTGTGATAAGATTTGTGTTAAACAAAATTCCATTGAACTTTTTGAAATGTTCATAATATTTATAATTATTATATCGATATTCTTCATGCCGCTTAAATATTTGCACCTGCAATTGGAATATTAGATAATTTGCTTTAAAGACAAACAAATCCTTCCTAGAAAAAAAAAAAAATAAAATAAAAACTATACTGTTACGAGACATTTACGAAACATGTTACTGGTTTATCTAGTACTTTATTCTTAAAAGATATGCTTCATATAATCTGTTTTATAATACATGTTACTGAAATAAGAACTGAGATCAATTATTACATATTTATATATATTATTATTATTATTATTATTATTATTATTATTATGAACAAATGATATTTGTATTGGTGATTTTACTTGAACACATTTTACTACTGTAATTTCATAATTATTAGCATTTTTTAAAAATTTTATAGTTTGTAATCACACCTTCTCGCGTTATTAATTATTTATAGAATTTGTTTTATTTTTTCTTGTGCAATAAAAATGCGTTAACAAAAAAAAAAAAAGAAAAGAAAAAGTCTAATTATAAATATAAAAACAAAATATTTCGTGTGTTTAAAAATGTATGATATATTGAAAAAAGAATTTGAATTATTTAAGTTTCAAGCAAATTAATTAATATGTCGTCGTTAAAAAAAAATAAAAAAAAACCTGACATAAGAAGACAAAAGAAAACATGTTAATATTTTAAGATAAATAATATTGATGGAAATTTACTTATTTATGTTGTATTTATATAATAAAAACTCTTGTATAATAAGTTTTTAGGTAGATAATTAGGACGAATTGATGAGATGAGAAGAGAAGAAAAGAAAAGAGAAGATGATCGATCTGTTTTTACTATAAATTGTAATTTGTAATTTTTATTTTTTGCGTGTGTGTTATATCCACGTATATATATATATATTTAGTAAACACAACAAATGTCTTTGTATATATTGTACAAATTAATTCTTACTATAAATTCTGTTATATCAATCAAAAACTAAGCGTAAACACAGATACTACCTGCACATGAAAATAAATTGTATTGGAACAAAAAAAAAAAAAGAAAAACAAAAAAATAATGAATGTCACTTTGTGATGCAGGTCACAGTTGTAACATTCTATGGATACATTGAGATGTGCTGTGAAATATAAATTTATTGATGAAGAACATTCATTAATTTCTAAATGTTGCATTATAATAAGTGTTCAACTTATTAATAATTAAGTATTTTTGTTGTATTTAGTTTCATATTTTTTGGGGGGTTTTTTTTTTTCTATGCATTTTCCCACCAACTTAGTACACCGAGACCGGGTTCGTCTATTGCACCCTGTACAATTAAACAAATTAAAATAGTAAAAGACAAATATTAAGAAATATTATTGATTTATACAATTGATTTACAACTTACTTTTAGATTGTAAGGTGATACGTTGCTAGTTTCAGTCTTGTCAACATTTTGATTAGCATTTCTAGGACCTGATGGTAATGTTTCCGTAAATTCTTCTGCAAATACTCGAAATCTAATAATTTCACCTACAAATTTGAAAATTATTCGATAAATCAAAATATTAATTAAAAAGTAAAATGACTAAGAATATACCTGGATCCATAAAAAGATCATGTTTTCCACCATCTCCAGTGTCGTATTCCCAAATCCATACTTGTTCGACTTGATCAAATCGAGATGGATGCTGTAATTTGTTTGGTGGAATGAGAATGTCCTCGAAGAATCCTAACGTTACTAAAAATAGTAATGAAACAAGTTCAAATTTTAATTTACAAATTATATAGGGAGATCGTAAAGTAATGTCGAGATTGTTGATAACGAGAGGATGGTGAATTACATTATTCTGTTACAAAAAAATACAAAACTTCTTATAGCATTTGTTCATTTGAATTTTGAGGTTAGAAATGTGACATTACTTTTTCGGTTCACTTAATATATACAAGAAAAAGAAAATATTTTAAGAGATAGGTTATGTTATTACCATGTACACCTTCTGCACTACAACTGCGTATTTTTCCTATTAAAATTTCTTCCATAAATGGACGGAACACTATAAACCTAAAATATACTTTTGTATGGGATGAACCATCACCAGGGAAAATATACGATTCTTCTATTTTTGTTAAATCGTGCAATGCAATACACAGACCTACGTTTAAATATACCTAAAATTTATTGAACAAATATATATTATTCGTATTCATAATATAACCTCAAAAAAAAAACAAATTTTTCAATTAACATTTTATTACCTTATTAGCTAATTTTCTATTTAATTCGTCAGTAATTGCATCGTTGAATTGTCTTTTAAATTTCCATGGTGGTATTCTTACGGTATCTTTGAGTTCCACAAGTACAAACATTATTTTAACAATTTGTTTATTTACAATGAAATTGTGATCGAAGCACGAGTTTAGAGGTTATGTTTATCTATTAAATACAAATCACGAGAGTTTATCTTCGTCATATGTTAATAACATTTACTAATTGCAAAATACTTTTTACACTTTTCAAAATTGATTTTTATATTTAATAAAATTTTTTACGAATATAAACAATTGATTAAAAATATTATTTAAAAAAAAACGTTCCATGATTTACAAGATAACCAAAGAATATAGAATTTTATATGATAACACATCAGAAGGTTACTTTTAGTGTCACAAATTCATTGTAGTTCGCACCGTGGCCACCAGTAGGCGATAGTAGATACAATGTTATCAACAAATATAGTGCTGAGCTGGAAACTTTGGGATTTTGTCGTTGGCGCTTCGATCGCGTTAGCTGCTTAGTCGGTAAGAGATAAAGAAAAGGAAAGTTTTGTAGGTAGCTTATCTTCTGAAAATAATATAACAAATTTTAGTGTACAATTTTGAACGCTAGATGGTGTGTTAATATCTTCTTGAAAATTTAAGGAAAATGAAAATTTCTAAATGTTCACAATTGTATATTAAAACACATACAAATATGTGTTTTAAATAGCAGCAATTATTTTCAAATTATTTGTCAAAAGAAAAAAAAAGAAAAGAATGATGTCTTTGATTTCATCTTAAAACATAACCAAAAAAAAATTTAATCTTCTGAAAAGATAATAAATGCGTATGAATGAATTTTATGAGAAAAATATAGTAAAAAGAAACATAACCAATTTACTTATAAAATTATAAATAATATATGTGCAATTGTATATGTGATCCAACGCTGGCATGCGTTTCTTCCTGAGAAGGATGAAGTAAAAGGGGGGTAAAGAGGGTAAATGATGGCGCTGGGGGTGGGGTGAGGGGGAAAGGAAAAGGACACGCCGCGTGTGCACGGCCGACTGCCTGCGAGTGGCTGCTTTATTATTAGCAGTTCTTGCTGGATCCTTTGATGTTAGCCGACTCGAAACATTCTACGCCACTCACACCTGTCGACTGCCGTTTCTACTTCAATCAGGAAAGCAGAAAAATGTCTCTATCTTCTGACTTATTCGAGAATGAAGAAATAGACTTACGAAAGATAAAGAAAAAAAAAAAAAAAGAAGAAAAAAAAAATGTTAATTTAATTGAAGTTTTTAAAAACTTTTGAAATTTAAACGAATAACAATTTCTTTATTTTCATATAAGTCAATTTCCACACATTTGGTTAAGTTAAGTCAGAATAATGAAATTTTGATTTCAAAATGTCTTCTCGTTTGTGTTGAATTTTAAAATTTTTTTTTTAATATGATAAGTATTAATAAATATTAATTAAAGTTGATAATAAATATTAGTGAATATTTTATTCGAGAACCACTGTTGAAGTCGGCAGAAAATCTTAAGAAGTTGAGTATCACCGGAGATCATTACGTTATGGCGTAGGGCCCGCAAGGGTGGGACTAGTGGGTCAGCCAAGCGAACCGAATCTCCCCTTCACGCCTTAAAAAGGTCAGTCGAAGCCACTACCCTCTTCTCATTTGCTATATACATATATACATAGGTTTAACTTACACTTCAGTTTCACATTTACTTTTTATATTCTCCTTTTGAAATGATCTTATTTCATAATAAATATTTTTCGAACGTTTGTAATAATTTTGATTAAAAGAAAAGAAAAAAAAGAGAAATTATTTGTCATCGAAATTAATTTGCACGACGATTCAAAAGTAAAAAACAAAAAAAAAAATAAAAAAAAAAATAAAGCTGTTAGGTTGACTCGTCTTTCTCGGTATATAAGTTTAATTAAAATGAAAGAAATATAAAAATTAGGTAGGTTGGCATTAAAACGAAGGAAAAAGAAAGTTACGTGATCGTTACACAGGAAATCGCGATGTGGAATGCGGTGTAACCACATGTCGCGCAGATGCCCAACCATAATAGTAGTAGTAGTAGTAGTGGGGTATGGGGGCCTTAATAATCGTTGCTTTCGTCAATTAGCACATTTGTGGTGTAATTGACATGAAAGAGAAGAGACGTATATAAAGATCTTGTTCCTTTCTTTTTTTTTTCCTTTCTTCTTTTTTTTTTTTTTTTATGGCGGCGGCGAAATCATTTTTGATCGTGTGTTTTCTACTGGATCGGTTGAAAAGGATACGTCGTCTCGTCTTATCTCATCTCCGAGAGTCTCGGTTTTTAAGTTTAAATAAAAACTATTTCGTTGAGAAGATCGAGATCATCACAATTATTATTGACAATTTTATTAACAAAAAGTTGTGCAACATTTTCTCTAGAAGAAATTTATTAATTAATCGTGTCATCTTCTAAGAAACCATTTATATCGAATATAAATAATGTTATGAAATGTTGATTTAATATAATTTTAAACTGTTCAGTAAATTATAACAACACACAAAATAATTGTACTCAAAAATGTATACAAAGTTAGGTTAGTTACGTCATATGTAAATATGAAAGGAAGTATGACGTGAATATAGCACAATAATTGAATTGCAATACAGCACCATCTGTTGCAAACTTACAGTACACAGATAACCTCGAAATAATACAAAATCGCGAATAAAATCTACCAAATGTACTAAGTTGAAAAAAATAACACATAAAATAAATCAAATTCAATATATACTTCGATAATATTTGCTAATAAAATACATAAACAATAAATTGATTACTTTACTTCGAAATAAATAGATAAAAATATATAAGAACGAATAAAATTTTATTGCACGAAGTTAGTCAGATAAGAAAAAAAAAAAAACAGAAGAGAAAGAGAAAATGAATGAATGAAAAAAATATAATAATAATAATAATAATAATAATAAGAATAATATTATTATTATTCTTTAAATATAAAGAGAATATTTTTCAAGGTGCAATTCCCCATATTCTTCTTTTTATATTTCAGACCGCAGACTTTGATAGTACATAAAATCGAAAAGAATTAAAGGGCCCCGATGTTGGATCACACCTTCGGGATACGTGAGTGCAGAACACCCGTTATTACGTTACAGAAATGAGTATCTTGGGGGCCTGTAAACTTCTTCTACGTGTAAGAGAACCTGGACGCGAAGAAGAATAACAAAATAAAAGAAGAAAAAAAATAAAACCCAAGAAAAGGATAACAGATATAGGAAAAGAGATAAGATGATTCTTGGAAGGAGAACAACTCTTTCGAGCCCTTCAAATATAGCCACCTACTTATATAGCATCTACATTACCCATAAGTCCCAATGTGTAAGTGGAAGGGAGAAGGGAGATGGGAATGAAGGGATGGGGAAGGGAGAAAAGGAAATCATTCCCTTTAATTTGATCCTACCAGATCTTACGCTACCCTTTTTGAACTTACGAAATAATATGCTGCTTCTGGGCCTTTGAAAATGTAATAAACTTTTCTAATAATTCATATCTTTACTTTGAAATATATAAAACAAATTATATTATTATTATTATTTATTATTTATTTATTATTATATATATAATTGTAATTTACAATATTGTAACAACAATTGTAATAATGCAATATAATTGTATTGTAATACAGAGCCATCTATTGAAAGCTTACAGTACCTAAAGACTTAACTAACCTCTAAATATAATAAATTCTTAAATTTAGCAATAAGAAAATGTTAAAAACAAAATGTTAAATAAAATAATAATACAAAGATACACACATGTGTTGTTTTCAGTTTGCAAATTTACCAAATAAGTGTCACAAAGTTGTTAGAGTCATGAGATCAAATATATCTAACAATAAAAGAAAATAAAAACCACATTTTTCATTTGAAATGGTAGAAGAGATATGTAGGGTTGCGTCAGACAGAAGGGAAGACTTGGGTGAGAGAGTGTGAGAGAGAGATACTGGCGGATACGTAAATGGTGCAAGGGAGCCTCTCATTACTTCGGTAATAGCCAGTAATAACATGGATTTAATGCGCGGGCTTCAAGTAGAGGCCATAAGCTATAAGCAATCGTTCGCCGCCTTCGGCACTTTTAATGAATAGTCCCCCCTCTCCCCTCTACTCGTTCCTCCCCACTCTCCACTCTCCTTTCCGCCATCCCCACCTTTTCCCACTACTCCTTTCCCGGATGTTCATTGGTTATTTTCTTTTTTTCATTATATTGTGTTGTACCTTGTAACAAAATCTTTCAAAAAAAAAAAAAAAAAAAACATAAATCATTTAAAAAAAGAAATTTATTGAAATATATTTGATTAAATGCGTTGAATAAAAAAGGTTCTCTAACCTTTACTGATCTGAAAAAAAAAAAACAAGATTTGGTTAATTAATCATATTTTAGTATGCCAATAATAAGGTTAGGTATTATCAAAATCAAATTAAGGTTATGTATACTAAGATTTATCCATTGTAAGATTTCTCGGTTATTAATACTAATTAAATAAATAAATTAACACTAATAATTAAGATACATTACGCTATATTAGCATAAATTAATTATAATTATTTCTAACTGATAATTGTTTGTTATTTTCTTTTATTAAGAATAAAGAAAAAAAGAAGGAATAAAACATTTGATGAAAAGGACAAGTTTCTTTATAAGAAAAAACAAATTATAGTTGTACAGTCACATTCGAATCACACCAAGCATATATATATACATATATGTATGTACATATGTGTTGGAAGGTATAAAATTGCGGTGAGGATGAAACTTGGAAGAGGAAACCCAAAGGCTAAGAATGGTTGGTTGGTTGGTGGGCGATCGAGGGTCCTGAAGGCAACTGCTGCAACAGCCCAAGCATTTGCCGTGGCGGCAGTGTCGGCAAATCATCAAAGGGAACTGTAATTAGCTGCGCATGTGCCGTCCGGCCAAGCGGAGCACCGGACGCGGGAATTCCCTGCTTTTTGCTCGCGATCTTCATTGCTCGGATATGCTCGGTCTCTTGCTGGGACTAAAATCCCCCTTTTCTCCCATATTCTTTTTCTTATTTCTTGACTTCCTTTTTAAAAAGAAATTCACAGCGATTATAATCTTATCGTAAACTATACGACTATTTCTTTCATTTGCAGCCTTTCTTTTTTTGTTGGTGACGATGATTTCAACGAAAACGTATGAAATTTTTTGAAAAAGTTTGAGTACCAGTTTACATCTCAAAAG